AGACAGAGAGAGACAGAGCATGAACGGGGGAGGTTCAGAGAGCGATGGAGACACAGAATCTGAAACAGGCTCCGGGCTCTGAGCTGTCAGCACAGAGCCCGACGCGGGGCTCAAACTCACGGACCGCGAGATCGTGACCTGAGCCGAAGTCGGCCGCTTAACCGACTGAGCCGCCCAGGCGCCCCTCACCTCCTTTTTAAATTCTTTCATCGTGTTCTTGTTCAAATCTGGCTGCCTTTGGGTTTAATAATAAGTACGATCCACGGATGGCACTTTGGGTCTGACTCAGTGCCTTTCAGCCACTGACAGGTGTTCTGTGAGTTATCCCACTCTCCTGTTCCTGTAGGTGGCCTGGGTGAGGGGACAGCACGCTGGCTTCATCTGATTTTTTTGCATCTTAGCCTGAGAGTGGCCTTTCAGAGATCCATGGTATGATAAGCTATCCGGTTTCAAATCAAGCACTGTCCCCGTGAGGTTTGACCCTGGTGAATTACCGAGGACCGTAAAGTTCTTCTGTCGATTCTTGGGCATCTGGTAGGACTCTTGTTGCCTTTGGCATTGTTAGTGTTGATCCTTAGGAAGGAATCCAGGATACAATCTGCCTAGCGATGGAAAGTGGTACTCCCTTGAGTTATAAGGGCAAGAAGGCATCCCCACTGACCACAGACAGCTTCGGTAGAAGCCCATAAGGATTCCTCAGGTGCTTGGTAGGATGTCACCTAACAATTTTGATGAAACACCCCTGCTTCAGGAATACAAGCATGGGTACTTAAGTAATTAGGAGATCAGTTGCTGTAATATGCTTGCTCTAGGGTGACAAACTAGTGTTTGCGAGCCAGAGAATTCTTCTTACCCAGTGTAGTCATCATTGGTTAGTACTGACTGTTCCAGGTGAGAATTTCAGGGCCTAGTTTATTTATTTTTTTAACGTTTATTTATTTTTGAGACAGAGAGAGACAGAGCATGAACAGGGGAGGGGCAGAAAGAGAGGGAGACACAGAATCTGAAACAGGCTCCAGGCTCTGAGCTGTCAGCACAGAGCCCGATATGGGGCTCGAACTCACGGATCATGAGATCATGACCTGAGCCGAAGTCGGACGCTTAACCGACCGAGCCACCCAGGCGCTCCTTCAGGGCCTAGTTTAAATAGACCCTGTTTAAGTGTGCGATCAGTTAACTAGAGAAGGATTTAAAAAAAAAAAAAAAAAAAAGCAGGGGCCTATGACTTAGATGAATTCCTTGGATTGTTTGAAAACCCAGTGGTAGCCATTTTAAGATGGAACAATCCAACCTCACATTAACTTTAAAATAAGTATATATATGGGGCACCTGGGTGGCTCAGTCGATTGGGCAGCCAACTTGGGCTCAGGTCATGATCTTGCGGTTAGTGAGTTCGAGCCCCACATCAGGCTCTGTGCTGACAGCTCAGAGCCTGGAGCCTGCTTCGGATTCTGTGTCTCGCTCTCTCTCTGCTCCTCCCCTGCTTGCACTCTGTTTCTCTCTCTCTCTAAAAAATAAATACACATTAAAAAAAATAAAAAACAAAGATATAAATAAATTATGGGGACATTTGAGACATAGCTAATAGTGTAACGAACTTTCATATGCCTGTCATCCAGCTTCAACAGCTGGAACAACAACTAGTCTTTTTGCTTTATCTCTGTCCATCTCATCCTGCCATTATTTTGAAGCATATCTCAGGCCTTGCAGAATTGCGCCTACAAATGTTTTCAGCATGTAGTTCTAAGGTACAAAGATTCCCTTCCCCTAAACGTAATGGTAATGCCAGTGTCAAAGCCTTCCAAGTCCGTATAATTCCACAATGTTGTTGATGATCCAGCATTCACATTCCCCTTACTGAAATATAATACATATAAAGATCTATGCAAATAACGTCAACGTTTGGTAGAATCCAAACAAGATTCACATATTGCAGTTGGTTGATGTGGCCTTTCAGTCATTTCTTATTATAGATCCTAGTCCCCCATTTTTGTTGAAGAAACGGAGTGCTTACCCTATGCAATTTTTCAGTCTCATGTGGTCAACATGCTGTCTGTTCCCTGTATTTCCTGTAAATTTATGATTTAGAGGTTTGATCATATTCATATCGAACCCACAAATCGTGAGATCATGACCTGAGCCGAAGTCGGATGCTTAACCAACTGAACCACCCAGGCACCCCTGTACTGATACCTTTCATATAATACCCTTGTTTTGCTCTTTCGGGTATGGGGTGGGGTGGAGGTTATTCTCTCTTGGTTTCCTGCTGTGAGTAACATTTAAATTATCTAGAAGCCTGTTCTCTCCTCTCCCTTTTCTCCCCCTAGCTTGGCATCTGAAGTAAGATTCTTTCACCCTGGTTACTATCTGTACAATCAGCAAACATATGCTGCTTTTCAGATAGTCCTTCCTCCCCTAATTTTGCTGACAGCTGTACTGAAATTGCTTTATCATAATACATAGCAATCCTACCTTCTATTTCCTTTGTTACCACTCTTTGTTCTACTGGTAAATAAATGTATGTTTGATCCTGGCCACTGGTCCTTATGTCCTGTCTTCCCTGGCACTTTGGTTTTCTGAAGCTCATCTTTCACTAGATGCCTCAGGAAGCACTCCTGGGAAGTATTTCCTGAATTCTATGTTCATAACAGCTTGTCTGTCGCTTTTATACTTCAGAGTCAGGTTGGCTGATATAAAATCCTTGGCTCATCTTTCTTTGCTCAAGTATCTTTAATATTTTACGGTAGCGTCTTTTGCCATAAAGTGTTGTCAAAGTCTGCTGACAATCTGATTTTCTTTCCCTCATGTTTCACTTGGTATGTTTGCCGAGATATCCAAAGGAGTGTATTTTACTTTTGTTCTTTGAAGCCCAGAAGTATTTTACAGTGTTGGGTGCTTTGCATTGATTTTTCTAGGGACACGGTGCACCACTTAAATATGTACTTACCCAGGGAAGTTTTCTTGGGGCAAAGCTTTTGCTATTTATTCTATTCTTTTCCATTGGCTTTAGGAACCCCCATTATGTGTATGTTAGATCTTCTTTGCCTGTCTTCTATGTTAATCACTTTCTCCTAAATCCTTTTAGTGTCTTCATGATTCATGTAAATGTAAGAATTTTGTTCCTCTCCATAGTCTGGTTAAGGCGGTATTCATTTTATTTGTTGTGCGTTTCCTTTTTTTAATTTACCCTTCTTTTTCTTTTTTTTTCTTTTACTTCTGATTCTTTTCTTAGTTCTTTACCTCCAGTTTCAAATCTTCCATTTTCTTAATCAAGTCATTTTGGGGTTTTAAAAATCCTGGTTTGTATGGTTCTTTATAGCTTCTTTGATTTCATGTATTTCAGCTTAGTTTGCAACTACTGGGTTATAGTTTTCATCTGTTCTCTTTCCTTCTGGCATAATTTTTATTGTCTATACTAGGGATGTCATTCTGTGCCTTGTTGTGTCTTTAACTATTTGGAATCCCGCTGTGGTTCTTTTCTGTTGTTCACCATGAGTTTTCCTGTATTTCCTGTAGCATTTCTGGCTTCACAATTCTAGAGTACCACTTACGCTGTTTTCAAGGAGTGGTCTACTTTTCTAAAGTCTAAGGTCTTACATTTTTGGTCCCCATTCCCACCTGCCCACCCCAACCTTTGCCCCTGTTTTGCTCATCTTAGATGCATCCCCAGCAGTTTCTCCTCTCTATGAAGCTTTCTCCTTTCTTGTTAATTCATAAGAATCAGATGTCCCCCACCCCAGAACATTCCAGGACATTAGACACTACATGGGTCACAATTCCCTCTGCACTTACTGGTGAAATTGGACCTCGCAAAGCCCTTTACCACTTGGTATGGGTGTTCTCAGAATGGCTCTCTGAACATTCTAGTGAGCATCTAATGGCAATTCTTGAAGCTGTTGGTTGTCCTCACCTTCACGTATACAGGGAATACCTTGTCTCCTGGTTTTGTTGTCGACGCTGTCCCTAGGTTTCTGGTTCTGCTCTGTTTGTCTGTTTTTATGGTTAGTATGGGTGTGGGTGGGGGAGATTCAGTAATTATGCTGCTGTCACTGCAGCACCTTTGCCAGAATCTCCGTAGACTTTCTTTTTTTAAGTTTATTTATTTTTAGAGAGAGAGGGATGGTACAAGCAGGGGAGGGGCAGAGAGAGAGGGTGAGAGAGAGAATTCCAAGCAGGCTCTGTGCTGTCAGCAAGGAGCCTGATGCGGGGCTCGAACTCACAGACGGTGAAATTGTGACCTGAGCTGAAACCCAGAGTCAGATGCTTAACTGATTGAGCCCCCCAGGCGCCTCTCTCCGTAGACTTTTTTTTTTTTTTTAACATTTATTTATTGCTGAGACAGAGAGAGAGACAGAGCATGAACGGGGGAGGGGCAGAGAGAGAGGGAGACACAGAATCTGAAACAGGCTCCAGGCTCAGAGCGGTCAGCACAGAGCCCGATGCGGGGCTCGAACTCACGGACCGCGAGATCGTGACCTGAGCCGAAGTTGGACGCTTAACCGACTGAGCCACCCAGGCGCCCCATCCGTAGACTTTTTAACATGAGATTTGGTAACCTTTCCGTCTACCAAACTGGGACCAAAGTAGCAAAGCCTTGAAACATTACATCATGGGTAGCTGACTTTATAAATCATTTTCTTCCAAAATAAGTTACTAAAAATGTGTTGCAGAGAGAAAAGTTAGTGGTTGTAACTATCCGAAAGACTGGAACTGAACATTTTATGGTCTACCTAGCATTAGCTTTCTAAACTTATTGTTTATGACAAAATGTAATGATTGAAGTTATCAGACCACCAGGAAGCTCATATCTGAGCTATTGTTTCTGAGGAAAATGTATAAAAAGTGACAGACTCTGCCATTGTTTGCTGTAATATTCCTTGAGTTCTAAAGGAGATCATGCTATTTTAGGTTTTAAGAGCATTAGACCACATTTAAACTTTTAATATCGTCTAATAAAGATAAAATCATTAGTTAATTAGGTGCCATTTTTCACTGTTGGCTTCCCCCCCATGAAAAATTTGCATATCTCTAATTATAGTCATTTGAAAAAAATGCTACCAGGACTTGACATAATATTAATTTAGATTTCCAGAAATACTAAATGTCCTTCCTCCAATGTGAGTTTCCTTCAATTGGCTATTGATTTAAATTGATATGCTAACAGGTGATGATTTCAGAATTGGCCTCTCCCTCCACCCACCTTTTTTCGTTTTTTATTTATTTTTGGGACAGAGACAGAGCATGAACGGGGGAGGGGCAGAGAGAGAGGGAGACACAGCATCGGAAACAGGCTCCAGGCTCCGAGCCATCAGCCCAGAGCCCGACGCAGGGCTCGAACTCACGGACCGCGAGATCGTGACCTGGCTGAAGTCGGACGCTCAACCGACTGCGCCACCCAGGCGCCCCTCCACCCACCTTTTTAAAGGAGTCATTATTCTAAAGTCATATAAGGAAGAAGTAAAACTTTCTCAGTGGACGTGTTGGAAACTTAAAAAAAAAATTCTGGAAAACAGGGGTGCCTGGGTTGGCTCAGTTGGTTAAGCGTCCAGCTCTTGGTTTCAGCTCAGGTCATGATCTCATGGTTTTTGAGTTCGAGCCCCACATCAGGCTCCATGCTGACAGGGTAGAGCTTGCTTGGGATTCCCTCTCCCGCTCTCTCTGCCCTTCCCCTGCTCGCTCTCTCTCAAGATAAATAAACCTAAAACATTTTTTTTTTAAATTCTGGAAAACAAAGTAAAGTCGTTTTCAGACATTTCCTCTAATTTTCTACAAAAAAGATTGAGAAGAAATCATTTTGAAAACAGAGCTGGTCAGTACGAATTTTTTGCAAAAGGATAGCAGGCCTAATGTATTGTTCTAAGTGAATGTCACCCAAGAAAAATTAAGGGAAAAGTGAACACTCATTAAGCAAATTGACCAGCAAGTGTTCTTTTTTTTTTTTTTAATTATTTTTTTTGAGACAGAGAGAGACAGAGCATGAACAGGGGAGGGGCAGAGAGAGAGGGAGACACAGAATCAGAAGCAGGCCCCAGGCTCTGAGCTGTCAGCACAGAGCCCGACGCGGGGCTCGAACTCACGGACCGTGAGATCATGACGTGAGCCGAAGTCGGACGCTTAACCTACTGAGCCGCCCAGGCCCCCCGACCAGCAAGTGTTCTGATGAATGTTGCAACAAATTTGAATACACTAATTTTGTCCATTACTGTGCTTTTAGACCAATGTGATTGTTTTGGTCTAATTATTTTTTATTTTGTTTATTCAAATGTAGAATGGCTGCAGAATTTTGCAGCGGTTTTCTGATTAGCAGTTTAGCAAATTGGTGAATGGTGTATGTGAGCTCCTCACCAAGCGATGTCTGTTCCGCGATAGGGCTGTGTGCAAGAACACTGATCGTCTTGGGGGAAGCCTGCACTGCTGTTTGCTCTGCTTTCCACCCCCCTGCAAATGGGAGCTCAGAGGCCTGCGCTGGATTAGCCTGGGCTGTGGGCTTGGGCTCTGGGCCCTCAGATGGAGTGCACCAGATTGAGGTCTGATGTGCTGCAGAAGTTGTATTTGCCACCCAGTGTCACTATTCTGGAGTCCCGTAGCTGTGACTGGTGAATTCTGCAACATTTCCCACTTCTAAAGCTTGGGGATTCGAGAAATCTGTGCCCGAGCGGCTGCCAAAGCTTGTCAGGGGGACCCAGCGCGAGGCCGATTTCTAGGTGTAAAAGCCAGGCAGATTTGCTCACTCAAGAAAATCTGTTTTTGTAGGTTTGCTTTGACTTCCAATATCCAGATACTGGTAAAATTTCTTTTCTTTTCTTTCTTTGTTTTTTTTTCTTTTCTTCTTCTTTTTCTTTTCTTTTCTTTTTTTTTCTTTTCTTTTCATTTCTATTCTTTTCTTTTTTCTTTTCTTTCTCACTCTCTCTCTCTCTTTCTTTCTTTTTTTTTTTTTTCCTCTGCTGCATGAGTGCTATGAGTTTCTTCTGGTAGCTGACCGTCTTGTGGGGTTGGGGAGTAACTGCTTCTGTAAGTGTGGTCCCGGACCACAGCAGGGGCATCACCTGGGACTTCTCAGAAAGGCAGACTCCCCGCCCTGCCCCAGACTTGCTGAAAGGGGAAACTCAGAGCAGGGCCCCGCAGCCCATTTTCACAGCTTTCTAGGTGACGCTGGTATAAGCTGAGGTTTGCACACCAGTGGTCTAGTTCTCGGGCTTTGTCACGGCGTCAGGCAGTGATAATTGAAAAGTTAAAGCTCGTGTGGCCCCTTGAATGTCAGACCAGGGTGCAATTCTCCCTTCTCTTTCTGTTGCGCTTAAAAAGACAGATATGAATTTCGGTTAGTCCAGACAGGAAAACAGACAATTGCAGTGCCGTGGGCTGGGGCCTCAGTAGAGACTGCAAGGGGCCTTTAGAGCGTGTGCATGTGCTGGGTAGGGAACGGGAAGGCCCCTTTAGAAGTGGTATTTAACATTTTTTTTTTATGTTTATTTATTTTAGATAGAGCATGAGTGAGCGAGCACACGGGGCAGGGGTAGAGAGAGAGGGGGACAGAGGATCTGAAGCGGCCTCTGAGCTGTCAGCACAGAGCCCGAAGCAGGGCTCGAACTCACGAACCGAATGGGGAGATCATGACCTGAGCTCCTCAGACACTAACTGACTGAGACACCCAGGCGCCCCTAGAGGTAGTGTTTGAAAAGTACTTACCCTTCTCTGATTAACTCAGGTAGATCCCACTCAGGGCATCCAGTGTCTCCTTTGGATCTCTGTTTTGCACACAGCACGCGCCTCATGCTTCACCGTAGTGCTTTTTTCACTCCTTACAGGTGTCCTGCTCCTTCGAGCTGTGGCTTCTGCAGGAGCCGCCCCTCTGCCCACTGCCAGGGGACCATGTTGCTCCCTGGTCTAGTGCACTTCAGGTCGCAACCGGCTTGTTTCCTTTGCAATCCTTTTCGACCCCCCAGGGTGGGTCAGGTCAGCTCCCACAGTACAGTGCGCTTCGTCATATTAATCACATTGTAATTATACAATTGTATAATTATTGGTTCATTGCTCATTGGTTGGAGCTAAATATAAATGCCATGAGGGGGAAAGACCTTGCTTATTCCCTGCTGCCCAAGGTCCCAGAAGTAGCAAGCATTTAGTAAATATTTTTAGGCGAATGAATGAATGAATGCATGCATGCATGCATGCATGCATGAATAGTTGGGGGGGGCGTCCCCTTTTTATCCCTGGGTCATGGGGCTGGTTAATGTATGCAGTTGGAGAGAGTTGTCACCAGAAAGTTTTATTCACGGGAGCAGTTGCCATCACCATCAAATCCTAGTGTCAGAAGGGCCAGTCCCTTGCACGGTGGCAGCAGAATCTCATAAGCTGATTCTCATTTGGGGGGTCGAGTTTTGGGGACACCCAAGAGAAGAGGTTCTTGAGAGTTATTATCCAGGCATATGGGAAAGGAGAGAAGTCCTCTGCTCTTGGACACACTCATAATACATGTGCCAGAAATCAGCAGCTGGAGTGGTCAAGGTGGCATCTGAGATGTTTTCAGGGAAATGGCTGTTGGCCCCAGTCCCCTTAGAGTGTCCAAGAGGGGCTGCTTGCTTTGCTTACAGGATCCGATGCTGGGGCACTGTGTGTCTCCCACCCACTTCCAAATCCACTTAATAGAACAACAGAGGTGCCTCCTTTGCCTTATTATTATTTTTTTAATTAAAAAAAATTTTTTTTAACGTTTATTTATTTTTGAGACAGAGAGAGACAGAGCATGAATGGGAGAGGGTCAGAGAGAGAGGAAGACACAGAATCTGAAACAGGCTCCAGGCTCTGAGCGGTCAGCACAGAGCCTGACACGGGGCTCGAACTCACGGACCGCGAGATCATGACCTGAGCTGAAGTCGGACGCCTAACCGACTGAGCCACCCAGGGGCCCCTTTTTAAAATTTTTAATGTTTATTTATTTTTGAGAGAGAGACAGGGTGCAAGAGAGAGAGAGAGAGGGAGACACAGAATCTGAAGCAGGCTCCAGCACAGAGCCTGACGCAGGGTTCAAACCCATGAACCACGAGATCATGGCCTGAGCTGAAGTCAGACGCTCAACCGACGGAGCCACCCAGGCATCCCCTCCTTTGCCTTATTTTAGCCTGTTTGTCTTGACCTGGATAAAGTAGAGTTTTTCATTTCTGTTCCAGAAGGAGAAAGCATGGCATTTACTTCCCAGAGGCAACAGCTTCAAGGTGGGGACATGTGTCTCAAATAAGACACTAAGTGAGCTGTGCTGATACTGTATAGGATTGCCAATAGCATGCACGTGTTTATAAAACTACATATATTGAGAATGAGGGCTCAGGGTTTTGTGAAGACACAGTTTTCAAGACGTAGCGGGTAAAGGTGCTGACATGCTTATGGGAATCTTTTAATAGAACTGATCTGTTGCCTATTTATAAATTAGTTGATTGCTGTGGTTTTCTTTCTTTCTTTCTTTCTTTCTTTCTTTCTTTCTTTCTTTCTTTCTTTCTTTCCATTTGAGACACAACATACCCTCTCATACTTATTGTAAACCCCTTTTAGATTAAGTGAGTGTAATAAACGCAATATATTTTGGAACAAAAGTCATAAACACAAATGCCCGCTCAAATAGCTACAATCAGAAGAGCTATGATCTGTGGAGCTGGCCAGGACCGTGGATGGCGCACATGGCTGTAATTTTATGTTTTGGTGCCTGTGTCCTTTGTTTACCAGATGCCATTTTCCCTCATAACTGCAGTCCATCCATATTACACCCCCCCCCCCACCCCCCCGCGCTTTCCTGCCCATCCTGGAGGGATGGATCCCAGCGTGGCTCTAATGCTTTCTTGGGTACTCCCTTATCCTCCTTCACTGCTGTCATGCACAGTAATTGTAGTGGTAGTAAAAGCAAGACCATTTACTGCAGCAAGGTACATGCAGGATTTGGAGGTGAAAGAAGAATCCTGAAATATTGTACCCCCTGGTAGAGATGTGAAAACCGAGGCTTGGAAAGGTCAAGTAACTTCCCCCAAGTCTCACATAGCTTGGATTGCGATCTGTGGTTCTCTGCCTCCGAAACGAACACCTTTTTTCATTCCTGTTGCTTCACTTGCTCACCCAGGCTCAGAGAAGCACCACCATTTTCCAGGCTCTGAGCTTGCTTCTAGACTTTAAAATATTGCTAAATAAAGTTACAGAAGTTGCAAGACTGGTACAAAGAGCCCCTGGATACCCTTTACCTAGACTCTCTGATTTGTTAACATTTCGACACTTTTACCTTGTGTATATACATACTATTGTTTCTGAACCTTTTGAGAGTAAGTTGCTACTATGCACCCTTCCCCTCCCCTCCCCTCCCCTCCCCTCCTTCCCCCCTCCCTCCCCCGCCAAACTCATCTGAAGGAGACCCTGCCTCCTGTATTTTATGAGAGCACAGAGGCCACCCAGAATGAATTCCTTCTTCTGCCCTCCACCCAAGTGTGATCTTTCCCCCTTTCCTCTAGGGTGGGACCCTGGGCC